AATTCTCTAACAAGAAAAGGCTTGTAGTATGCTATGTAGTACTAATCCTAGCGGGAATGGTATTTCCAAGGCACTAATTGGTTTTCATTTTTCTTTTTTTGCTATTTATTCCTAGGACAAACTGACTTGCAATCGCATTTGTTTGCTGAAGGTATATGGGGTAAAGTAAGTTCGCATTTCGAACAAGCATGATATAATTTTACTTTTTTTACCTTGGAAAAAATAATTATCCATGTTATGTACCTTCTCTAAAATATAAACCTTATTTCCCTATGGTAGACTATTCTAGCTTATAGTAGTATTTCCAAGTAACTAACTAGTTACAATCTAAGAAGTGTTTGTAAGAAATGTAGTTAAAGCTTGCTTACCATTTTAGGACTTGACAACCCAAAGAATATCTAATATGAAACAGTTGTGTCAAAATCGTAGTCTTACAATTGCAATTCTAAGCTTTTTTTTCTATCATATGTTGAAAAAATAGTGAATCATTGCCAAGAACTCACCATCGCATTAAAGCTGACTTCATCTTTGTGCATATGCACATAGTGCATGGATATGAGAGCAATGATGATTTTTCTGGCTACAAGACCTAGGAATACATAGAGGAGCAGTCGTCCAAGAGATAGGCGTTTCATTCGAGGCTAAAATTAGCGCAATTGTTCTCAAAGTAGAGTCTGCAACATAAGGGAAAGATTGCATAAAGATCACAGAACCCTCGCGTTCACGTTGTGACAAGAAGAATTAAGAGGGCGTGGCAATGTGACGCGATTGCGTTCTACTCTGCCTAATCAGAGGACTTTTGTCTATAATTAAAGTAGAAAATATCAACAGGAAAGGAAAGTTTGGAGAAGAAATTTCCCTTTCTAAATTTTTCTTGTTGACGCAAAGCTATTTCTTGCTTACTGCCATGTAATCGTAATATTGCCAGAGAGTTCTAACAAATGATAGAATATTTGCAGAAAAAAATGCTCGTATATAGAAAGTTTGCAAGATTCTGAGCTGTCACCAAAGTAATGCATAGGCGTCAATCTTATGCGTACGATATTATATATAACCGGACCTCGGGAACTGTCTCGAATGCCACAAACCAGTGCGCCGTTCAGTAATTGTCGATGGCGAAGAAAATCGTTTATTCATATAGTTTCTCCTACTTTTCCCCAGCAAACAGGTCCAGATGTTTGAACAATAATGATGAGTGAAAATCATTTTCTAATGGCCATTCTATGACTTTTGAATTCGCGGAATTGTCTTGAACTGCGATGAAAACGTTGAACAGCAAGTTAACTAGTTAATCTAATAAAAGACAAGTAGGAAACTATCATTTATGCCATATACACTGCGCTTCATGCTTTAGGTCCACTCTTATTTTTGTGTTTGCGGAGTGTTTCTGTAGGGGTTTGCTATTAATTTCATAATAACCATGTGAAGTAAGCTCTTGTACAAGTTCCTGTCACGGTATGTTACTCATTTTTTTCTGAAATATCAGTTTGCCTTTTCTATAGGTCCATTCAAAAAAATGGTGGAAAACCCCGTTCTTTTTGACTATTCTTCTGTGATTTTGGGCGTCATCACTGGAACTTTGCAGCACAATGCAATTTCTAAAACATATTTATCTGTTGACAGCTTAAAGGGCCAAGGAGCGGAAGCAATTGTGCACACAATGCCTATGATAAAACTTTATTGTTTGGCAGAATGGCTTCTCATCTGTTTTCCTATATATGACAAGATGCGGGATGGATACAGCACTAGGGGTGGTTGCGATATTTTTCATAGATATTTTAGTTTGCTACTTGATGATTCATTATCAAAGCCGCACTCAAAAAAGGCATTTCTGCTGTACAATATCCTTCAACCACGTTTGAATTTGAAGATAACTGTATGTAATCACATTCTATTAAGAATGCATCAAACGTTCCAGATTACATTAGTATGCAGTCACGGAATCCTTCATTGATATCCAGTGCTTCCTTCGATTCCGTTACCTAGACGCTACAGATACAAAATAGATGAGTCTGAGCAGTTAGAACCACATTCGACCTGCTCTGACGAGCTATAATCCATCATAGGTGAAAGTAAAACAGAGAAAAATCGCAAGAGTCTAATGCATTCTTAAAAGAATCTCTACTGGGTCGATATCTATATCATGACTTATGAGAATGACACGGCATCGTAAAACGATTATAGCATGTTTAGAGTCTATCTCGAGGTAAAAAATATGCAAGTCTATAAAACGAAATATTTTGCAATAACCAAAGATACGATATGCATTCTGTTTAAGTTTGCTGTAGAAGAAAGAAAGGCCGAATATTGATCATGTCAGAATTAGCATTAAAAATTTGTGTTCCTCTACATCTTTAGTGATATTGAAAGTGCTGCGCAGCTTCAATTGGCAAAAAGAACGGGATTTGGACATACTTAGTAAGTGGACTTGGGTGTAACAGGCAAAATTCTGGAACAAAATTCTCAAAGAATCAAAAAAAACTTGGCGTACTGAAAAACGTGAACGTGAAGGTTATTTCGCCTACTAATTATTGAGTGTACAACTTAATTCGGTTCGTTTGCAAAAGATGGCGCTAGGTGCTATAAATGGTTGACGGCGACTTGGTTTTTGGTGTATGTGAAGTGTCAACATCTGTGAAAAAATAATGTTTACAAGCCTTTGAGTTTTGCACAATAAGTTTTATTTTCACTGCGTTGAAAAAGTTTCGTTCCTAATAAGCACCATTTGCGGGAAGTTTTGT